TTTAGTCTATAATGCAAATGGTCCATTTATTAAGATATTAATTTTGACAATAGGATTATTAAAATTACCATAACACTACTAGATTTTAATATCTTAGTATCAAAAGTCATCACATATAGATTTAATTTTCGAATCACACTTAGGGAAGCCTCATATCGATCTATTTTCTCCACGAGAAATGTAAAGACACAATTGTCCTGACGACTACGTCGCAGAATATTACCCTAAGTACTTCGAGTGTGTTTTCAACCATAGCGATGTGTGCAAGTTGCAAACGCCTTCCTTTATTCTGGAATTTTGCGATTTAAAACATCGCGTAATATAATTTACTGTTTATTGTTGAAGCCATATTTCAACAAAATGACAAAGAAAAAGAGAAAGTAAAAAGGAAAGCGATAAAAAGAGCGAAGTAGGAAAGACAATTTTGGACAGAAAGAATGTCGAATGAAACGGCCATAATATACCAGTTGATGGGTATTGTAGATGGAAATTATCGAGTGGAATTTTATGAACATTTATTAGACCTAACCAGGAACAGTTACGAAATATGCAACTATAGGTCCCTGGCAGGAATCGAACCTACGGCCCTGCGATTCCGGTGCAGCGCTCTAACCAACTGAGCTACAGAGGCCAGTTGTCAGGGACGCCGGAACGATGTGAAGGCAAGGGGGGGGGGCAGATTTTTGTGAGAGGGCACTTTTGAATTGATATATACTAAGAGATGTTTGCAAAACATCGGGAGTTGAACTTCGCGGCCTAATCATGTTTTCTATTTATTGGAAGATAGGGGTGTGAGTGGGTTCTCCGCCAGGCGATTGTGCTATTCTTGAAGCTCGATGACTGCATTTCTTGCGTTTTCTGAAGCAAATTCGTAAAAGAATTGCACTAACATTTCTGACAATTCGCTATTTCGCCAAGGCAATCCTTTAAATTGAAAGGGCACCTTTGCCCCTCCTGGTAAAGGGCAACGGGGGCGGCTGCCCCTCCTGCTCCTCCCCCCCAGTTCCGGCGTCCCTGCCAGTTGTCGTTGCATTTTTTCGCAACTGCTCCCGGTTAGGTCTGATAAAAGGATAAAAATTTCTACACTCGAAGTTTCAATCTCCAAAATTTCTTAATATTTTTCTTCTCAAGGTACACGAGTATTATACGACACCGCCTGAACCTCCAGAAAGAGTTCGTACGATGGAAACTTTAAATATGAGCGTGAGATCCACAACAGGCTGTCCGGATGACGTTTATGAAGCTTATGTTAAACCAAAAGATGTCAAACACAAATGGATACAAACTGAAGACTTTGATGAAGGTAATTGGTTTAATCTATTAACTTAAATATCATTGGCTAGTTGCATGAAGGTCGAATAGTGATTTTTTGTCACCATAAGATAGTGTCCATGGCATTGTGATTTTTCAAGCGTTCTAAAAATTGTCCTTTAATTGGTGAAACCCAGATTAAACCAGAGGCGTAGCCAGTGCAGGGGCCGCCCCTCCCCCTGGTAAAATTTTTGCTCCCCCTGAGAAAATTCAATCTATAAAAATGAGTGAAGCCTGGCCCCACCTAGGTTTTTACTACCCCCTGACCAAAAATCCTGGTTACGCCTCTGGATTAAACTTGAGTGTTTATAAACTAATGGTTCTTTTTCTTGATTCTGGCGTCTATATTCGTAGTTCTAGAACTTTTCAAGAATTTTACAAAGGTTGAAAAAACTCACAATTCTAAACTCTTGAATGTAAAACCACAGAATGGCAAAACTCTAACCAACTGAGCTACAGACTCCAGTTGCCGAGGAAATAAACACTAATAGACCTAAATAACCGTTGCAAAAACAACTATAGAGATCACCACCGCTAGCGAATTAAGATGTGTATCATGCATAAATGATACAACGTGCTAATTATGCATGCAGTTAGTTACTCTGCCCAGCAAATTTCTTGTCCAATTTCCATTCAAATTTAGGCAAAATTACTTAGGCAAAATTGTACCCATTTGTCTTTGGGAAATTTCCATTAGAATGTTGACATGTGCTGTACATGGTCTTTGTATCGTAGCTGTTCATGCCATAGAAATAGTTAATTCTGATGTAAACATATACCAGCTCTTCGTGCCAGATTTTGTTTTATCAGCTTTCAAATTTTTAACATGATTATACAAATCTGTATTATGCATGATAACTTGAATGTGGTGCAATAGCCGTCCTAATTTGATATTAATCAGCTGGTATATGTTTACCAATTTATAATATTGTCGTAAATAATGATAATAGCCTAAACAAAATTCAAGAGGGAGAGTGCCTCGCATGGGTCTTGAGTCCCGTTCCCACTCGTGCCGTTTGAACATCGTTCAATAAAGCTGTTAAACATAAACAAAACATTAGTTCCACAATTTTTTGTATTATAGGCCTAGGTGGTGTGCAAGTTATGTCACCGTCGCCATGTTGGATGACATTGACAAAGGATTTTGCTTGTTTGCAATGGAAATTTCATCCAACATGGCGAAAATCGCTTTGTCCTTCGAATCCCATGGCAGTGGTTGCACATCACCTATACGTGTACTTCTTTAATTATGTTATATTCCAATTTCGTTATTATAAATTTCGGGTTCAATTTAATAGTCCCCAAGAATCCAATGTATGATGATGTACGTCAAGGGATCAACGATGGGTACTGTGTGGATAAGGAGGGTGATCAGGTGTTAGAAGATAAACTTCAGAAATATGAGGAGTACAAGGTGGGATCTCTGGGTCACATGGCGTTTCAGGATGATAAAGACTGGTATGAGTAAGGTATTCGATTTCGTCACTGGATAGAGTATCCTGTTGAATTCAATCGGCCAATTTTGAAGCCAGAAAATTTATTTGAGATTTTAAAGTCTGTCAAAATCTTTGTAAATCGGATTGCGACGTTATCTACAATTAGCTACATTATCAATCAAATGTCTTTTCCTATGTAACGTGAAAAATATAGCTTCCAACATGTCTTATAAACACGTAGATAATGAGATTTGTGGCAGCCATCTTGCTGTGACCTCATTAGTTATTGATGGACAAATTTAATGGGGAAAAGAGGCCGCTGTTGAATTTGGGCAGGGATGTAGAAGAGGGGGCTCAGCCACTCTTGTTAGAAGCTCAGGGGGCTAAGTTCCCCCTTGTTAAAAATTTAATGCCGGTTTGGGGGGCAGATCTCCCAATGTTTTTGCAGATTGCACATTCATAGCCTGGAAAGTTCTTTGCAACTGTAGCGTTGAAATGGTGCGATAATGATGTTAGTAATATGTATCTGATCACTATGATCATACTATTAGGTCATGTACGTGGCCCCAACATGAAGCAGCTTCGGTATGTCGGAATCGTTTAGTTGAAGTTATTAAGCCCTTTCTTCACAGCTCAAAGCACCACTGAAGAATTACTAGAATCAAAAATAAACACTAGAATTTTCCATGCATGTTTATCATGTTGCACCCTTCACGCTTGTGACTTTGTTACACACCCACCTTAAGAGCCCCTCCCCCTTGTTATTATTTCAGTTCCACACCACTGATAATTTAGGTTAATATAAGTTAACCTAAAATTTAAAGCGAACCAGTTCCCAACAGTTTGTCTATATATTTTGTGTTCAATGTATAGACCACAGTAAGACTGTTTTTGATGATTGTGTTTATTACGTCAACAAACGACGTTTTGGAGTTTAGTCCATCTTCAGGTGGGCAATCTTAACTACCTGAAGTTGGAGTAAATCTCCGAAACGTCGTTTTTTTATGTAATAAACACATTAAAAACAGTCTTACTGTGGTCTATACATTGAACACAAAATATATTATTAACATGAGGCTTAGAGAAAGTTAGTTCTTAAACATTTTGAAGTTTGTCTATAAATAAGGAAATATTTCTTTTGTTAGCGCTAGTCCAGCTTTGAATATTAACCCGCTTACGAATTTTAACTTGTATTTTACAACGTTACGTTAATTTGTGCTGTATTTAATTTTTAATTGTACTTATTATAATCATAGTTATAATATAAATCGTTGTAAAATGTTTCATTAAACATAACAGTATACTCGCGGTACGATGTAAAATCCTCATTTGATATTATGCTTCAGTGTGTATCTTGCGAAAATTAAACAGCCGCCTGATCAGATTGGCCGGCCTGAACCCCCAATATTTTTTGCAGATTGCATAATCATAGCCTCAAATGACGTGAATGACTTGAAGGATGAGATGATGTTCTAAAAACGAAGTGGCAATTTTTTTAATGTTGCGTGAACTTAAAAATTAAAAGTTATAATCAAATGGAAAAGTATATTCATTATAGTTTTGAGCTCGTGTTGATGTAAGTGAAATTTGTATACATTATTATAGGAAATTAACGATGCACTTTATTAATTAACGCGGATTTTAAAAATTCGCGTTAATTTAATTATGTCATCGTTAATTTTAAGTATGTAATTTTGATTTATCGTTAGTTAAAAAGACATTGATTTGTTTTATATAACACTAACTCTTCTAATATCAAAATACAGCATATTAACGTAAACTAAAAACATCAGCGCTCCTCTCAACTCACTTCACTATCCGATTCGCGTTAAATTTAATTAATTTGTCAACCACGGAGATCAGATTCGCGTTAATATAATCATGTTTTAAAAGTCCTAGAAGCAATCCGCGTTAATTTGATGTCGCGTTAATTTATGTCGCGTTAATAAAGTGCATCGTTAATTTCCTATAATAAGGTACATTTATTAGGTCCTGTGATTCCAGTGCAGCGCTCCAACCGACTGAGCTGCAGATGCCAGTTGTCGAGCTCTAACCACAAGTTTATGTATATATATACTAGGGTACTGCAATTTATAGGTTATGGGTAAATATCAAGATTTTGTTGGCATGTTACTCGAATCGGAATAATCAATATTTGATGCGGAGTATTGTAGATGGAAATTATCGAGTGGAAATTTATATACATAACTTATTATACATTTATTTGAACTTGTGGTTTGAGCTCGACAACTGGCCTCTGCAGTTCAGTTGGTCAGAGCGCTGCACCGGAATCGCAGGGTTGCAGGTTCCATTCCTGCCAGGGACCTATAAAGTTGCATTTTTCGCAGCTATTCCTAGTTGTGTCCAATAAATCTATATAAATTTCCACTTGATAATTTCCATCTAGAATACCCGCCAATTCCGTCTACAACACCGTCTATACAATACCCATCACGATGAGGAACTGCCTGTTAAGTTTTAAAAATCTCGCCCTATAGGATTTTCTTCAATTTTCATATATTCAGTGGCGTCACGCTCATTAGGTACGTAGAGTTCGTTCCAAAACTAAGGGCCCTCGACAGCCTAGCGGCCTATCGCCCAGAAAATTAGAAAACGTAAAAAATGTAGGTAAAGAATTAAACCTCGATCGACAACGGTATAGCTAATTTTTTTTATTCCATCTCAAATAAAACAAAAGTTATTCTTCTTAGTTGTTACATGTGTTGGAGACTGTTATTGTTATTGTTATTGTTATAGACATGGAATTTTCCATAACATTCTATCCACCTAAATATGCCTAAGGGTCCCCTCTTCCTCCTTTATGCCACTGCATATATTGTATAAAATCATATACTCTTTCAATTGGTTGCTTAGTTGTAAGTGGTGCAACCATGCAAATGAACGAAAATCCCACTCATGATATATAATTAATCAACCTTTTCTTCAATGCTAACAGTTTCTATGAAAACTTACCATTGCTATTCCCAATTATAGTTCACCATTACATAATATTAAGTCTAATGATTCCATCTTTGTGTGGGATTTTTTTACTCTAGTATACAATAAATACAATCAAAACAAACAAACGAACAAACGAACAAACAAACAAACAAACAAACAAACAAACAAACAAACAAACAAACAAACAAACAAACAAACAAACAAACAAACAAACAAACAAACAAACAAATTAACAAACAAACAAACAAACAAACAAATCTCTACCTTTAAACTTTGATATACATGGACGTGCAGAAGTATATATCTATATAGGACTGTATTATTTTACAATTATATAATTTTATACAATTGATCTGAAAGTTTAATAAAATACACAATCTTTCGATAATTACATCACACATACTTTTTGGTCTTGGAGCCTCGCTCTCATTAGTAAATTATGCAAGGTGATTGGCTCACGATTCATGAAAGCGAGGCTCCCTTAGCGGGGTCAAGCTCTGCGAACTGACCTCTGCGAACTGATACCTGACCAATCTCGTTCCCCGAGCCTGCGATCCTCGGGAAGGAACGTGAGGCTCTGGGATAATCCGTTTCAGGGAGGAATCTGATTGGCCGTTGATATAGAATGCGCAGTTCGGTCTTAGCCAGGATTCCTGGCATCCGGCAACGGATATCCCAGAGCCTCATGTTCCTTCCCGAGGATCGCAGGCTCGGGGAACGAGATTGATACCTGACTAACCGTGACGGCTCGTGAATTTAGGCACGGGCTTGCAATTTATATATTTGAGAATTGAGAAACAATTGTTGATAGCTTTTTTAGTATATGCTATATTTGGCACCGGGGGTAATTGTTAGGAAAATGTCTTTTTGGTCTGCTATTTTCCATTTTTACTTCTGAATGATTGAAATGAGTGAGTTCGTTTCCCACCGCATCGAATGCAGATCGAATGTCATGTTAAAAATAATTGAATGTCATGCGTACTTCACACTGGTCAATAATTCTCACGTGACGATTGTTATTAATGAAAATTATTGAAAAAGTGCAGACTGCAGAGGCAAAAGTGCAAGATAGTATACATGTCGAAGTAGTGGGGGATATTTACTACTGAAACAACGAATGAGTAAGTCCGTAATAAGTAATTATTCATAATAAGCTCCCTCTGGGTGTTTAAATTATGTTGTATTGTTAGAAACAGCCGAAGGAATTGGCAATCATTTTGATTTCTGGCGACCAACGACTGTGTATTGGGCTATTCCATTTAATATCCGTACCCCCCCTGTCGAGGATACATGTTTTTCATTGTCATACCCCTGAAGAATTCCAAGCTCAAAACTGTTTACCCTGAAGAATTCCAAAATTCCAAGCTCAAAACTCTTTACCCCTGAAGAATTCCAAGCTCAAAACCTTTTACCCCTTACCTGAAGAATTCCAAAATTCCAAGCTCAAAATCCTTTACCCCTGAAGAATTCCAAGCTCAAAACCTTTTACCCCTGAAGAATTCCAAGCTCAAAACCCTTCACCCCTAAAGAATTCCAAGCTCAAAACCCTTTACCCCTGAAGAATTTCAAGCTCAAAACCTTTTACCCCTGAAGAATTCCAAGCTCAAAACCCTTCACCCCTGAAAAATTCCAAGCTCTGAAAAATTTCAATCTCAAACCTCTTTACCCTGAAGAATTCCAAGCTCAAAACCCTTTACCCCTGAAGAATTCCAAGCTCAAAACCATTTACCCCTGAAGAATTCCAAACTCAAAACACTTTACCCCTGAAGAATTCCAAGCTCAAAACACTTTAGCCCTGAAGAATTCCAAGCTCAAAACCCTTTACCCCTGAAGAATTCCAGGGATCCTCGACAGGGGGGGTACGGATATTAAATGGAATAGCCCATTGCGTTTTATTTGTAGTTGATTTAGATCTATACCAATTCATTAGTCGAAGAAATCAGTTTAGGGACGGACCATTTGATTTTTGATG